ATTAAGTCAACAGTGGAGATAAAACAGAATCATAAAACATACTGAGTATATCCAAAAACAGAGAAAGAGAGGAAAAAAAATCAACAAGAAAAAAAGAAAACAAATTCCAAGACAGTAGTATTAAATCTAATAGCATCAATACATAAAGTATAAATGATCTAAACACTCCCAATGAAAAGATAAAGAATATCAGATTAAATTAAAAACCAAGACCCGATGCTGTCTATAAGAAATCCACTTCAAATATAAAGATATATATATAGTTTAAAAGGAAAAGGAAAAACTTCCAGCTTCCAGTCTGACACGTAAAGAACTTGGAAAATATCACTCTCATCCTCACAACAACAACAAAAAAGCTAACTAAATGAAAACCAATAATACTTCTTAGGTCCAACACAGAATTGAGGTCACAGGGCAAACCACCACCCAGGAAACTGAAGAAACAGGTGAATATAGAGAATCACAGCTTACCAGAAGCAGCAACTGGTAGGAAAACTTAAAGAGTAATTGCTAACTGACTAATTGCTGGCCACTGACTATGGATGAGGTTGAGATAAAAACTCCTAGAAGCCCTACCTTAGGAAGAGCTTTACCTTTTCATGAATTTTACCTAGGAGCCCCATCAGGTTCCCTTCAGGGTACAGATCAAAGAAAATTCTCCAGTGCTTCCTGCAGAGGGAGGGGGGAAAGTAATCATTGTGAAATACACCCAGAGCATTCTGCTCTCTTTAACGAAGACCTGACTTCTAGGAAAACTGCTTTAGAGTCTAACCAACATGGGTTTTACTAGAGCCTAATTGACATGGGGGAAGGAAAATACCCAACTCTAGACTCCTCTAGCCTTCCTGTCTCTCACATAAGTTAGGGGATGGGGGAGTGAGAAGCACCTGTAAAGGTCACAGCCATGGACACAGGCCCACTAAAAGACTAAGATCTAGTCACAGGATTATAGAACACTTCTGTTCCCCCTACAACTTACCATGGTATCAACAGGGCTCCTATATAATACCAGGAGATTACAATCCAAAGAACTATAAATTTATACTCCATTTAATTAGTCTCTAAGGAAATCCAAAAATAACAAGGCAAACAAAAACAAGATACCTGGGGCACCTGGGTGGCTCAGTCGTTAAGCGTCTGCCTTTGGCTCGGATCATGATCCCAGAGTCCTGGGATCGAGCCCCGCATTGGGCTCCCTGCTCAGCGGGAGGCCTCCTTATCCCTCTCCCAACTCCCCCTGCTTATGTTCTCGCTATCTCTCTCTGTCAAATAAATAAAATCTTAAAAAAAAAAAAAAAAGATACCTAAACAATTTTAAATTCTGAATCTTAGCCTTTATCCCAGGCAGAAAATCAGTAAATCAGTTGAACAGAATAGCACCATCAGCTTGATCAAATTGACATTTATAGATTAGTTTATCTGGTAACAACAGAATATACAAGCTTCTTAAGAATACACAATTCCTGTCATGCTCATGTATAATGTTCACAAAAATGGGCCACATTCTGGCCTATAAAATATACATAAACAATTTAAAAGAAGAGAAATCACAAAATATGCTTTCAGAACACAATAGAATTAAACAAGAAATCACTAACGGAAAGATAACTGGAAAATCCAAAATATTTGGAGATTAAACAACTTACAAATCAAGGAAGAAGTATCAAAAGAAACTGTAAAATATTTGAAACTGAATGAAAAAATTAAAATTACGAGGAATTGTAGAATACAGTGACAGCAGTGCTTACAGAGAAATTTATAGCTTGGGAGTATGTATGTTAGAAAAGAAGAGAGATTTAGAATCAATAATCTAAGCTTTCACCTTAAAAAACAAGAAAAAGGAGAGCAAATTAAACCCAAAATAAGCAGAAGAAATAATAAAAATCAGAACAGAAATCAATGAAACTGAAAACATGTAAGTTAAAAGAGAAGAAGTCACTGAAACCACAAGCTGTTTTTTGAAAGGTTAAGATCAAAATCAATAAACCTCTAGCCTGGCTAACCAAGAAAAAAAGAGAGAAGACACAAATAACTGATATCAGAAACAAAAGAGGGGCCATCCCTACTAATTGCATGGATAATAGAAAGGAACATAAAAGAGTATTATAATAAACAATTCTATTCCCACAAATTTAATATCTTCAATAAAATGGACCAATTCCCTGAAAGACACAATCCAACAAAATTCACACAAGGAGAAATAGATAATCTGAATAGTCCTACATCTATTACAGAAATTGAATAAAAAAATTAATAACCTTCCAAAAGAAATCATCAGGGCTAGGTGTTTCACTAGTGACTTCTATCAAACATGTAAGGAAGAAATAATACAAATTCTCTACAGTCTCTTCCAGAAAACAGAACAGAGGAAATATCTCCTAACTCATTCCATTAGGGCAGCATTACCTAATACCAAAACCAGACAAAGACATTACAAAGAAAGTGAAAGAACAGTATCTCTCACAAACACAAATACAAAAATCCTCAAGAAAATACTAGCAAATAGAAACCATATATAAAAAGAATTATATACCACAACTAAGTAGGATTTATTCCAGGCATGCAAAGCTGGTTCAACATTCCAAAATTAATTAATGTAATCCTCCATATCAACAGGCTGAAGAAGAAAAAAAAAATATGATATCAATAGAGAAAGCATTTGACAAAATCCAACATCCATTCACATGGAATTTATCAGCAAACTAAGAATAGAAAGGAAACTCCTCAACTTTATCTATCCATGAAAAAACCAACAGCTAACACCATACTTCATGGTGAGAACCTAAGAGCTTTCCCACTGAGGTCAAGAATAAGAAGGATGTCCCTCCTCACCATTCCCCTGCAATATCATATTGGAAGACTTACCTAACACAGTAAGACAGGAAAAGGAAATAAAAGGTATAGATTGGGAATGAAGAAATAAAAACAAATTCTACTCCTACAAATTCTACAGAATTTTACTCCTAAGTATTTACCCCAAAAAAGAAAACATATGTCCACACAAAAATGTGTACATGAATGCTTACAGCAGCTCTATCCATAATCACCTAGTATGGGAAGCAATCTTGGTTAACTATTGCTGCATTACAATTACCCCAAAACAGCAGTTTAAAATACCAAACATGCAGGGTGCCTGGGTGGCTCAGTTGGTTAAGCGACTGCCTTCGGCTCAGGTCATGATCCCGGAGTCCTGGGATAGAGTCCCACATTGGGCTCCTGGCTCAGTGGGGAGCCTGCTTCTCCCTCTGACCCTATCCCCTCTCATGCTGTTTCTCTCTGTCTGTCAAATAAATAAATAAACAAAATCTTAAAAATAATAATAATAATAATAAATAATAAATAAATAAATAAAATACCAAACATGCATTATTTCACAATTTCTATGAGATAGAAATTTGGGAGGAGCTTGATTGAGCACTTTGGCTCAGGGATGTTCAGGAGTTTACAGTCAAGTTAGCTAAAGGAATTATCTGAAATCTTGACTGGGGCTGGAGGATCCATTCTAAGATGGCTTGCTCATATGCTGTTGACAAGAGGGCTCAGTTCCTCATGGGCTACTGTCAGGAGGCCAGAGTTCCTTGCCATACAAACCTTTCCACAGGGCCCGTTGTTTCCTCACAAAATGGCAGCTGGCTTCCCCGAGTGAGTGATCCAAACGAGAACAAGGCACAGTAACAATGTCTTTTATCAATCTAATCTCAGAAATCACACATTACCACTTCTGCCATATTCTACTAGTTCCAGACACCAATCCTGACAGTGCAGGAGAGGTCAACAGAAGGTCACGAATACCAGGAGATAAGGATCACTGGGACCATTTTGGAAGCTGGTTACCACAAACCTAAATATCCATTAACTGGTGAATAGATAAACTATGGTACATCCATACAGTGGAATAGTAATCAGCAATAAAAAGGAACAAACTACTGATACACATAACAGCATAGAAAAAATCACAAATACTAAGTGAATGAGCCAGAGCCAAAAAGCTACATACAGTATGATGTGTTACACTCTGGGAAAGGCATAACCAAAGGGATACAAAACAGATCAAAGGTTGTCAGGAGCTAGGAAGGGGGCAGAAGACTGACTACAAAGGGGCATGAGGGAATTTCTTTGGATAATGGAAATATTCTATATTTGATTGTGATGGTTATATGATCATATGTGTTTGTTAAAATTCGTACAACTATACACCTAAAAAGGACAAGTTTTATTGTAAATAAATTATACCTCAAAAATTACTGATAAAAAGAGAGCTAAAGGAATCTTGAGGGGAAAAAAAGAGGTTTGGTTGGGACTATTGCTATAGGAGTCTTAATGTGTAAATAACAAGTTTCCAAAGGAAAAGTGACAATTAAACCAATAACATTATAATTAAAGTTCCTTAAGATAAAAAACTTTCTCTGAGCTTAAGTCTACAGATTCAAAGTGCCCATCAAATTGTAAGTTAGACAGATGAGAAAAGATACACATGTATCTTGGCATATCCTGGCAAAAGTCTTAAACTTTAAGAATAGAAAAAGTTTAAATGCTTTCCAGAAAGAAAGAACAAGTCACTTAGAAAAAAAGAGAGATAAGCTTAGGCCTTCTTATTTGTAACAAAAAGGAAATGGTGAAATAGTACCCACAAATTTTTGAGAAAAGGACTGCCACCCAAAAATTCTATCCCAACCAAGAGTAAAATAAAATTATTTAGGAATGCCAAATCACTCAAAAAATGTATCACCCACTTATCCCATCTAGAGAAATAGCCAACAAAAAATGCTCACCAAATAACTAAATCATTGCAGAGATAGAGGAGGATAAAAGAAGAGACCTTATGAAATCTGAAGTGGATATTAGTAAAGCAATTGGGAACAGATATATAACAAATGAAAACTCAAATTTATTTTAGCATTAAAATCAAGCATCTAAACAAAAAAGAATATTAAAGTCAGTCTAGTGTGCGAGGAAACTGTAAGTAGTTACTACAACTTTTTTGTTTTGTTTTGATTTACCTGGTTTACAAGATGAGAGTGACCAAACAGCTTGTGACCCAATTTCCCGTACTGTTCCAGTCCTTTCCAATTGCTTAGGGTCAGCACCAGGAGGTGTCTTGTTTGGTGTGGTCATTTTTTAAATATTCTATGTAGAAAACAAGAATATCCACATTATACCAGGATCTGAGCATCTTCTACAAAGGGTAAAAATTAAAATTTAACAGCAAAATATATCACTTATATACCCTTGATATTAACCATCTATTTCTCAAATGCAGGTAACATAACTCAATTACTATAATTAAAAAATCTTGGGAATTCAGTTTGTGTTTCTAAAATATATTATGACTTACAAGATGTGCAAAACAGTAGAGTAGCCAAAGGGCATGGGATCAGCCTCTCCTTTAGCCTAGACTTTGGGCAGGTCTGGGTTTTATTTCCTTACTGTAATAGGGGTCAACTTGATCTATTATTCTATAATGCTGTATATTCTATACCTGAATAAAAAAAAATTTTTTTTTAAAGCTTTTATTTTTAAGGGGCACCTGGGTGGCTCAGGCAGTTAAGCAGCTGCCTTTGACTGAGGTCATGATCCCAGGGTCTTGGGATTGAGCGCCATGTGGGACTCCCTGCTCAGTGGGGAGCCTGCTTCTCCCCCTACTCTGCCCCTCCCCCTGCTTGTGCTCTGTCTCTCTCTCTCTCTCTCTCTCTCTGTCAAATAAATAAATAAAATCTTAAAAAAAATAATAAAGATTTTTAAGTAATCTCTACACCTGACATGGGGCTCAAACTCACAACCCTGAGATCAAGAGTTGCACGCACCATCAAATGAGCCAGTCAGGCTCCCCTCTGAGTAAAAATTCTTAATTCAAATGATTTTTTTTCTGTAGAAAAGTTAAATTGAAATATTCTTATTCCAGGAATATGTAAATATTAGTTTCCATTTTACTTATTTTGGATGTAAATTTACTTCAATAATTTATTTTTTTATTAAAGTATAATTAACACAGTGTTATATTAGTTTCAGGTGTACAATATGATTCAACAATTCTATACATTTCTCAGTCCTCATCACAGTAAGTCTACTCTTTTTTTTTTAATTTTTATTTTTAAGTAATCTCTACACCCAATGTGGGGCTCAAACCCACAATCCCTAGATCAAGAGTCCCACCCTCCACCAATGAGCCAGCCAGGTGCCCCACAAAAAGTCTACTCACAATCCCCTTTATCTGTTTCACCCATTCTCCCACCCACCTACCCTCTAGCAACTACCAGTTTGTTCTCTGTATTTAAGAGTCTGTTTATTTTGGGGCGCCTGGGTGGCTCAGGTGGTTAAGCATCTGCCTTCGGCTCAGGTCATGATCCCAGAGTCCTGGGATCGAGTCCCGCATCGGGCTCCCTGCTCCTTGGGAGCCTGCTTCTCCCTCTGCCTCTCTCTCTCTCTCTCTCTCTCTGTTTCTCATGAATAAATAAATAAAATCTTTAAAAAAAAAAAGTTTATTTTTTTGTTTGTTTTGTTTCTTACATTTCACATATTAGTAAAATCATATGGTATTTGTCCTTCTGTATCAGATTTATTTCGCTTTGTCTTATACCCTCTAGGTCCACCCATGTTGTTGCAAATGGCAAGACCTCATTCTTTTTTATGGCTAATATTTCATTGTGTGTGTGTACATCTTCCTTATTTATTTATCTACTGATGAACATTTGTGTTGCTTCCACATCTTGGCTAGGGTAAATAATGCTGCAGTAAATGCACGGGTGCATATACCTTTTTGAATTAGTGTTTTTGTTTTCTTTGGGTAAATTACCCAGTAGTGGAATTAGTGGATTATATGGTAATTCTATTTTTAATTTTTTGAAGAACCTCCATACTGTTTTCCACAGTGGTTGCACCAATTTGTGTTCCCTCCAACAGTGCACAAGGGTTCCCTTTTCTCCAACAGCCTTGCTAACACTTACTTCTTGTCTTTTTGATTCTAGCCATTCTGACAGGCATAACGTGATTATCTCACAAGAGAAACATGAAAAGATACTGAACATCACTAATCATCTCTGATGAGATATAGGTCTCCATTTTAAATAATCCATTAAGTGATACAGAGAAAAATCACTTCTCCCAAGTTGTCAAAAGTTCCATTGACATGACGTAGAAGATAATGTCAGAAAAATTGTTTCAAAGCATAGAAGTGAATAAACGACCCATTCTAAACCCCAAAATTTACTTCTTTTGTTAATCTTGGTAAATCTATGCAGACATGAAAATAAAATCTCCAGTAGTGAACACTATGTAAAACAGCTTAGGTAGTGCAAAGTTACAGATACTGAACATGGTTATATATGCTATTATAAACCTGGCCCAGTAGTTCAGTATACCATCTCCCTGACACCTTTTAGATCTCAGTTGTTTCCTAATCTCCACACAGCACTTGATACTCATTAAATAATAGTAGAGCCACTAGACTGTAAAATTCAGAAAGGCCTGAGACTTAAATGCTCAATTAGCAATTTAATGAATGAATAAATGAATAAGTGCAGTCATAAGCTTAAGTATTTGCTTCTGCAAGCTAAGGACTAGGATGAGACAAGTAAACCTGTGACTATCACTACAAGCTGAATATCCTGTCGTTGTCAAACGTTCCAAAACGTCAACTGTACCAAAAAAAAAAGGGGGGGGAGGAAAAGAAAATAGCTCATCTCTACACTGGAGCAGAAATCAACTGCCCGACTTGGTACTGGACGCCACCCAGTGGATAAAACACGGAACTCGGAAAAGCCTGGGTTCCTAGCCACCCACTTAAGAATGAGTTGAGGCCAACGAAAGATCGCCATCACCAGCAGTATTTGGACCAGACTCTGTTGGTCCTGCTTGATACCTCTGCCGGAAATGCTAGAACGGGCCAATCGCTCTCCAGCGGCCTTGAGGTCGGGAGCGGAAAACGGGATTGAGAATGGGGATGAGAACGCGTCTGCTTACGCTAGAACCATTCTCCACATCGGGGGAAAAAAGCCCACGCACTTACAGCTTACAGACCTGGCTTGCCGCAACCCAGCTTTTTAGGATACCCTGCAGCTCCGTGCCACTCCCACTCAGGACAGCCCGGCTTTCCCAACGACGTTAAGTTGGAGTCGCAACACAATGACGTCAGTTCTCGCCGGCTGGCCGGACCAACTCCAGGGCTCCGCCTGTCGCTCTCTGTCGCGCGCGCGCACTGCGTCCCTAAGGCATGCGCGAGGCGGTGGCTAAGCACCGCCATTTTGGCCGGTGGCCGTAGGAACACGCCGTGCGGGTGAGAAGTGAAGGAAGAACTGCTTTGGCCTCTGAGCTCCCCTCCGCGAGGGGATCGTTTTCTCCAGGTACGTAACTAGCCAGGGAAAGTTTGGCCGTTGGCTGCGGCCTCACACGATTTAAAGACTGTGGGTGAGGCCTCCGGTGGCGGCGGCGGCGAACGCAGCGGCGCGTGGCAGCCGGCTCGGAAGGGACAGCTGGAACCGCCAGAACCGGGGCACCGCCGAGGGCTCGGAGGCACGTCGCTCTTCCCCTCCAGCTGACCTGGACCTCGGCCACTGTTGCTCGCCACCCGCGCAGGGGCTACCAGAATGGACTCGGATGCCGTCTCAGAGATCCAGACTCCACCGTCTCCACTCCCCCTTTACTACGCTCTTGCCCGAGAGCTGAGAGAAGGCAACTTCAGAACTTAAAGCATCCTCTTTTTCCCCCATCCTTACCCTGACACAGTGAAACGGACGGATTGTCACACATGCGTATTGGATAGAGGAAATCGTGGCTTTTTCCTCCACGGCTTCTCTGGTGATTATGGAATGAGTCATGGCATTTTGCCGCCATGAAGTCGAATCCTTCTTACCCGTTCCCCCTCTTTATAGAAATGATGGGCAGTTGTCGCTCTACTTTTCTCATAGAGCAACGTGTATTCGGTTATCCCAAGTAATCTCCCAGTTCAACGACTGTAGCTTTTTTGGTGCGCTTTTATAGTACTTGGCACTTTCTTCTTGGTGACTTGTTTTCCCTGTCTTTATATAAACTGCATGAGATGAGGAGCGCAGCAGTTCCTACCTTGTAGACACGGTGGCCAAAGCCAATACCCACGTCCGATAAACTACATAAACCTACTTTTTTTTTTGTGGTAAAGTCCATAAGAGTGAGAAATAACTGTCAAAACAATGAGGAGGGGTGTGGGAGGGGTTATGCTGGTGTTTTTGTTGTTGTTTTACCTTCTCTTCCACAGGGACTGCTAGCTAGGCATTTATGATCGTGGCGGTTGTGTTGCGTTTCTCAGTACATTTGCCTCATATACTGAAAATAATCGTACTCTATCAGCTACCTGACAATAATGCTTTGTCAGTGTTAACCAAGGGCTCTTAATCTGTATTTGTCCCAAAAGGGTATTTTTTTGTGTTAAAAATCTTGTTACGCCCATTAAAAACATTTTCTTAGGAAGAACATTTAATACAATTGCCGAGAGGAAAAAAAAGTATTAATTGGGTGTCCCTTCTAAATGTCTTCAGTTTAAGACTCTGCAAAGAGTTGTGCACCACTCCCAACTTACATGTTTTATAAGACTAGTAACTTACCGTAACCATAGGTTAGAATATTTTATGTGATACCAGCTGTTATTTGTTCACAGCAATCTTTTAAATGTTTTCACATGATGTTATAATAATTTTGGTCTTAGACTGAAAATGCTTTCCATAATGCTTCTCACTTCCTTTTTTACTCCCAGCTGGAAGAATGACTGTGAGGGTCATTGTTTGAGTACCTGTTTTGAACAGTTTGTCTTCAGATCTGAAATATCTTCAAATTCCTCTTGGTCTCCAGGAGTCTGTTACTACCCCCTACCTCCCTCCTGCGGCTTCACTGTGCTGTATCTCATTGAAAAAGAAATAGGGATCCCTCCTCCCCAATTCTTGAAAATAATATACAAATTTAGTCATTATTGTTCACACAAGGAACAGTTCTACAAAGAATTTATATTCCTTATTCTTAAATGCATTATAATTTATCACTGTTTCTTATACAAATCAGCTTATTAATATCTCTGGTATGTTATTATTTTTCTGTAAGTCATCTCTTTCAGTCACTTGGTTTTTAAAATGGTTTGAAATATCAGATGAAACACTTTAGTAGTTTGGCAGAAATAAAGTTTAGCATCAGCAAGTTTGTGATAAAAGATTTATTCTCTAGAAGGGACTTCATGACATTCATTCACCAGGTAATTTGTATGGTGTCCAGCTGTATTTTAATAACTAAAGACTTCACTTTTCAGGGAGTTGTCACTTAGAGTGAAAGCTTTTTTGTAGCAATTCAAAAGTCATTTAATTTCTTTCTCTTCTAGTCTTTATGAAAACTGGACCAGTTTTTAAAAGTTTTAAGGGGGTAGAGTGGATCTCTTAGTTTCCATAATTCCGTTTATTACATAAATACTTAGTGTCCTCTTGGGTGTTTTTTTTTTTCTTCCAGTATATACTTTAGTGGATAGCTGTTACTATGAAATATTGGCAGTATTTCTGAAGTCACTATAACCTATAAGAAATTATTTACTATATCTAAATTCATTTTCTCATTTATTCAACAGAAATATCTGACCTTTTATGATGTGCTGGGCACTAGTTTCGCCACTGGGCTGGACAGACAAAAAATCCCTGCCTTCATGATGGACTATCTTTTACTTGGGGTGGGAAAAATACTGTGTGTAGAGAGAAAGAGTATGTAAATACATGTATATACACAAGATAAATATGTACATAAACCATATGTACACACACATACAAAATATATGCTGTGTGGTATAGTAGAAAGAGCTAAAGAGAATAAGCAAATCAGGAAAGAAGAAAACAGAAAAGCAGTTGGGTGTATTTTTTGGTAGTATAGTTAGAAAAGGCTAAGAAATAAATATTAAAGACTTGAAGTAGTGAGCCTTCTAACTCACTAGGGGGAATAGCATTACAGGCAGAGGGAATAGAAAATGTCAGGGCCCTAAAGCAAGAACCATGTTTGACTTGTGCTAAGAATAGCAAGGAGCCAGTATGGCTGGAGCAAAATGAACAAGAGCTAGAGTAGTTGAAGATGACATCAGAAAGTAATAGAGGCTGATCAGTACCTCATTAATTATTTTAAGGACTTTGGCTTTTACTCAGAATGAGTAGGGAAGCCATTGCAGGACTTTAAGTAGAGGAGTGACATGATCCTGGCTTACACTTAAAAAGGATCATCCTGACTTCTGCAGTGAGAAGGAACTGTCAAGAGTCAGAGTAGAAGGAGGTAAGAGTAAAGCAGAGAGACCTGATAGGGAGCTATTAGAGTAAGGCCGATAAGAAATAATGGTGGCTTAGACCAGAATGATGAGAAATGGTCAGATTTATGAAGGTAGATACGACAGAATTTGCTGTTGTGGCATGTAAAAGATAACTTCAAGGATTTTGGCTTGAGTAAATGGAAGATTGGAGTTGTCATTTAACAGAATGGGCAAGACTGCTAAAGAAGCAAATTTTGGTGGGGACATCAGGAATTCAATTTGGGAGATGTGTTAGACCTTCAGGAAGAGATGTTGGGTAGTCGATAGATATACAAGTTTAAGGTTAGGAGAGGTATCCTGGCTAGAGAGAGAAATTTGGGAGTTAGCAGCATATAAATTGGATGTAAAGCCATGAGATCAGAATAGAATACCTTAGAGAATGAATCTAAATAAAAAATGTAACCAAGTATTAGAGCACCTCTCCACTTTCAGTAGCGTAGAAGATGAGGAAAAGTGACCAAGAAAATAGGAGGGAAACTAGATTAGTGCTGTGTCCCAGAACCAAGTTAAGAAAGGGTTTCTATCTTTAGGAAAAAGTCGTAATTTGTGTCAGATGCAATAAGTGTTCAGGTAAATTAACTGTTAATTAACTAATTGTTTTACCCATGTATACAGTAGCAATGACCTGATAAATTGTTTTGATGGAATGATGGGCACTAAAGTCTGAAATGGAGTCCAGAAAAAATACATAGAAATTTGGAGTACTGACCGTAGGCAACTCTTTCAAGTAGTTTTGCTATAAAAGGAAGGAGAAAGAAAGCAATGGGAAAAGTTAGGGTCAGATAATAGAATGTTTGAATGCTGATAGGAACGAGCCAATGGAAAGAATAACTGATGATATGAAAGACAGGAGAGAGAATTGTTAGAATATTCCCCTTAGCAGATGTCTTTTAGTGTGCAAGTAGACTTCACTGTGGAAATATATATAATGTGATTGCTGGTTGGCATAAGGGTTCACGTGAGATGACAGTAGTCAGCATGGCTTTGCTTTTTTGTCTACCCATTTTCAGCTTTATGTGTGCAGGTGAAGAGTTGTATGTAACCAGGATTGTAGTTAAGGGTATAAATGATTGACAAGAAAATTTTAGCTAGTACAGAGGGACATGAAGATACAAGAGCTGAGGGACAGTGGAAATGTGGTAGAATCAAGAGATAATGACAATAGGTCTAGGGAATGGGGGAGTTCAAAGGGTTGTTGGATTGTTGGGTACAACGGGTAAACTGAAAAGATAGGAGTGGCGGTTGGAGAATGGGGTATTTGAATGGAAGTTATAAAAGGATTGCAGTTATTGGTAATAAGAAGGTCAAGGATTTCACCAAAGGAATGAGGGGTTGAGGGAGGGTGAAAGAAAGATCACTGGAGGAGAGAGGTTACTGAACTAAGAAGACAGGCTATTAATAGAAAGATCATCTATGAACATACTGAAATCAAGAATTATGACAGGAGCTGTAAAAGAGAGAGTGAAAATTAGCCAAGGGCAGAAGTCCTCAAATGGAAGGGAGTGATCTGATGGTCAGTGAATGACTAAAGCAGTTGGATGATCTAGAGGCAAAAGCTGACTTTTTAGTGAGGAGGGAGAGGTAAGATAGTCTGGGAGCAACACTGAGGAACATGCTCTCTTATCCCTCTCCAAGCCTAATGGTATTGCAGCGTGTGAGAAAGACAGAGGTCTACAAAGGGAAGCAGTCAGTCAAAAAAAAAAAAGAGAATTGATTATCACAGTCCTTGATAGAAAAGGCCAACAGATTGTCTTTGTCAGTGGGTAGTCTTTTGGCTTCAGGTTCTGCCATTACATACTGGAATAACCTGGAATTTTAAGATAGTTTTTGGAATTACTTACTTTAATCACTATTCTGAGAAAATTGATGTCTGTCACTAAGTCCAATATTATAGAAGATTTATAAGTTCACTTTGACCTTAGTTGCATAATTGATGGCACTGTTAATTATTAAGACTTATAAAAGCTTTAAAAGTGAGCAGAGTCTATACTTACGGTTCCTTAGTCTTCTTTTCATATTAATGCTATTAGCATAAAATTCATCTTGGCCATATTACAAATTCCCAGAGAAATGCAGTTTTAATTTTTTCCCTTTAATCAACATCATGGTCACAACCTTAATAATAACTTCCATTAGTAGCATCATTAATAGTCCAATAAGATATGAAATAATACTTAATTTGAGGGAGGGAATAGACATCTTTATTATGTATTACTTTTTCACATCAGCTCCTATTCTGTTTTATTGGACTGTCTCACACTGGTATCAGTATTAGTTAGGAGACATTATATCATTTTTGTCCATCAGGTATAGTTTCCCCATCCCCTTTATTCTTTTTCCTTTTCCTAGCCATTCTTTTTGCATAAGAGCTTTCATTTTGGTTTGTCTGTTTTTTTTTTTTTTTCTTTGAAATTGGATTAAATGTGTAAATTTGAGGAAGGCTGAAATCTCTGGTATTGACTATTCTATATTATAAAAACTGAGACAGTGTCATTCTGTTTTGTTCAGGTCTTTTATGTTTCTCGGTTATGGTTTGAAAGTTTCCTCACATGTATATATTTTTGTTAACTTGATTCCTAGATCTTTTCTTTTTTGTGACCATTGAAAATGATGTTTTTTCTTTTTTATATGAATCTTCTGATCAGTAGTATATATGTAAAATTTTGTTTTTTTTAAAGATTTTATTTATTTATTTGAGACAGAGAGAATGAGAGAGACAGAGAGCACATGAGAGGAGGGAGGGTCAGAGGGAGAAGCAGACTCCCTGCCGAGCAGGGAGCCCGATGCGGGACTCGATCCCGGGACTCCAGGATCATGACCTGAGCCGAAGGCAGTCGCTTAACCAACTGAGCCACCCAGGCGCCCTGTGTTTTCATCCTTACTAAATTATTTTATTGCTTTTACTAGTTTTTTTAGTAGTTACAGATAATCATATCTGAATATAGTGATAATTTAATGCCTGTGACTCATTTCTCTTAACTAATTGCATTGACCGTGCCATAATTTTGTAAATTTTTCTTTACTAGAAGAGCTGGATATTCTTTCTTAGAATTATGGCGGATAAATTAACAAGAATTGCTATCGTCAACCATGACAAATGTAAACCTAAGAAATGTCGGCAGGAGTGCAAAAAGAGTTGCCCTGTGGTTCGAATGGGTAAGCTGTTCTGTGGATCATTTAAAGATAAGAGAAGGATAAAAGAAATAAATTGGCTTCATAGTTCTCTAGGCATATACTTTTTTCCTATTAGTTTCTTTAAAATATAGGGATAAGACCAGATTTTGTTCTAAATTTCTTTTACTGCTTTGTGACCAAATGATCTCTTTTTGTTAATGGTAGAATAACGTATTTTTATCAGTATTTTTTAAAGTTCATTTTGACTACCGAGATTCTTACTGTTCTAGGAAAGTTCTGTAATTTAAGTCATGGAGAAAGGACTAATATATTTGTTTTTGATAGTATTCTCATTTTAAAAAGCAAGAATGAATAGCTTACTAAGAATGGCTGATTCTTGAGCTTTTGCTGTATTTTCAAGATTAAATAAATTTAAAACAATCTGGAATTATTGGTAGTCTTTAAGGGTTACGTTAAGGTAATTGTTACTTTTACTGTATTAGTGAGGTATAAGCTTTTTGAATCTTTTTTTTCTTTTTTTTTTTTTTTAAGATTTTATTTATTTATTTGAGAGAGAGAGAGCACATGAGAGGGGGGAGGGTCAGAGGGAGAAGCAGATCCGTGCTGAGCAGGGAGCCCAATGTGGGACTCGATCCTGGGACTCCAGGATCATGACCTGAGCCGAAGGCAGTCGCTTAACCAACTGAGCCACCAGGCGCCCAAGCTTTTTGAATCTTAAAAGAAACTTTAGATGTCATCTATTATATTCTACCATGCTATTTAGAAATTCCATTATTAATATCCCTAATGTCAAGTTTAATTTCGTGTGTATATTGAATGACTACATACCTTTTCGGAGTATCACTGATTTAGCTAATGTATTATATTCCTTTCTCTACATTACCATTTCCAAGGCATATATTGTGAATTAAATATTCAGGTCAGACAGCTTAAAAATAAAACTGTTATGGGAGCACCGGTCTGGCTCAGAAGAGCATGCAACTCTTGATCCCGGGGTCATGAGTTTGAGCCCCACAGTGGGGGTAAAGATTACTTAAATAAACTTTTAAAAAAATTAAAAAATAAAGCTTTCAGGATCTGCCATAGTTTTATGAGCATATTTTCTTCCCCAGTAGTAAATTAATGTATACTAATTATAATTAATCCCCACAAAACACTGATTTTTTTTAGGATGTTGTCTCAATTGTATTTCTTTGTGTGGCCTTTGTTTTTGAAAATCTGCTTCTGTATGGAGATTTGGAACCAGAATTACCTAAATAACAATGTTGAGAAAATTAGAATGCCAAGGAAAATAATGTAACTCTCTTTTTCTTTGCCAGGAAAATTATGCATAGAGGTTACACCCCAGAGCAAAATAGCATGGATTTCTGAAACCCTTTGTATTGGTTGTGGTATTTGTATTAAGGTAAGTGATATTTTATTTATGGGATCAAATTTGGAACCTGAAGAAGTCAGAAAATTCTGAATACATTATAACTATTTTTAAAGAAGCAAAATGTAAAGCAGTGAATTAAAAATGTAAATTTAGGAAAATGGTGTTCTGTCAATGATCTAATATTTAATATTGTTGCTTTTTGAAGTAACTAAACCACCCTATGTAAAAGTTATCCTTGCCGTACTCAACTTTGGAAAGCCATTTCCAACCAAAATTAATTTCTCTTTTTTCACCCCCTTTTTTTCTCACCCTTTTATGAGGACATTCTTTCCCATGTCTTTACAAGTACTTGGAAATATAAATACAAAAAGTGTGAGTCATATTACATGCAGTTCCTTCAAGTCTGTATTTAACTTTAAATCATACCTAAATGCATACAGCCAAAATTGTTTGAATTTAACCTAATCCTTAAATGCTTCTGCTATATTATACATTTCTTCTGTTGCAGTTATCACAGTAGTGTAATTTTTCAAAATACCTCGGTTAGTTTTTGTTGCATTGAATAGTTTGGTTAGGGCTTTTAACTTTAAAATGAAAGATTTCCAAATTTAGTTCATAAACAATATTTAAGAACCAGTACGTTAAATTCTTATTTTAGGTATTTTTATTTGTAGATAATATTTTTAGAAAGGAACTTTACCAGAGTATGGATACCACCCTGTTAACTGATTCTAATAAGGTTTATGTGTATTTTACATTTGTTTCTGAATCCTTAGTTAAGTATCCAGAAAGATTTCATTGGTATCTAAAAGTGTTTTCTCTTGTTTTGAAAATATAATCAGGAAACATTCCTGCCAGCAAACATTTACTAATCTCTTGTTATATGCCTGTCAATGTTGCGGGTGCTGGAGATCTGATTTTGAACAATATATTATCTTCTACTCTGTTTTCTTCTTTACTGCTATAGAAAAATGAGATCTCAAATTTTGGGGTATACTTCAGTGGCTGAAAAGATACTGATGTGATGAATCTGTTTGGGGGTGGGGGTAGTATATACCCCTTGAGCCCTAAAATACTTACAAAATGTACCTCATAGATGAAACAGTATGGATTTTTTTTCTTGTAGATTTAAGGAAGCTTAGATTACTTTTCAGCCTATAAACATTTTATGTACATTGATACAATAATAGAAAATTTCTGTAAATGGAGGTAACTCCATTGGCAGAAAACTATCTTGTGTGAAGAAGAATTAATAGTTTTGGTTAGAGGGTGGTAATTACATTGTTAGAATACAAGAATTATTTTTTTAATTCTCTGTGTTCTTATAACTTATAAAATGGGAATTCACTGAAATCTTTATCTACAGAGGCTTTTGAATTGATCCCCTCAGATCTTTGAACCGTTCTGCTAAACAGATCTCTAATCTGGGGTTTTATTGTTTGGATGTACCTTTATAAATTTCTCTGAGAAATTTTTCTAGTCACATTGCTGCTCTTAAATAACCTTCCAGTTCTTGCCATTCTTGTTTCTTGGACATTTATCTGATTGATAAACTGTTATTTGAATTAATTAATGAATTAATTTTTTTAATGTGAATTTACTCAATTGGAATATAAAGCATCTTTTTCATATGAGATGGTTAAAAACCACAATGGAAAGACATTAATCCTTGCTCTGTGCAAATATTATGCTAGCTGATGATGGGACATAAATAGACCCAAAAAAGGTACAATCCATAAAGGACTAAACCTTAACCATAAAGACCTTAAAGGACTCTACAAAGTAGAAAAGCAAGCATACAAAGACAGGAAGAAGGAAATAGTGAGAGGGCATCTGTCATCAACTGAATATGGAATGGTATACTCAGTAACCATGTTTTATCTTGCCTCTTAGCTTCATCTAATAATGTTAAAAAACACACAGAGGGGAAAAAAACCCCTCAATTTTTGTAAGGTTTTTCAGTAAGTATTAAAAACATATTAGAAGTCTAAAAATATGCCAGTCACTAAGGGAGAAAATTAGCTAATATGATTCTTGCCTTCAAAGAACTTAACTTTTATTTATTTATTTTTTTTTAAAGATTTTATTTATTTGACAGAGAGAGACACAGCGAGAGAGGGAACACAAGCAGGGGGGAGTGGGAGAGGGAGAAGCAGGCTTCCCGCTGAGCAGGGAGCCCGATGTGGGACTCGATCCCAGGACCCTGGAATCATGACCTGAGCCGAAGGCAGATGCTTAACGACTGAGCCACCCAGGCACCCCAACTTTTATTTTTTAAGTAAATAAGAAAGTGAAGCAATATTTTAGATCTTTGTGAAATTCCCACATTTGGGTGGGTTTTGTTTTTGTTTTTGTTTTTGTTTTTTAAGTTTTTTTTTAATATCTACAGCCAATGTTGGGCTTGAACTCATGACCCCAAGATCAAGAGTCGCATGCTTTCCCAGCTGAGCCAGCCAGGTGACCCATAATTCCTACATTTGGAAGATTGCTTATAAAAAATTCTTAATGTATCCATTTTAGTCATATAGATATATTTTTTTTAAAAAGATGTATTCATTTATTTTAGAGCGCACCTGAGTGGGGGGAGGGCAGAGGAAGAAAATCTCAAGCAGACTCCCCATTTAGCGTGGAACCTCACTTGGGGCTCTATCCCACGATCCTGAGATCATGACCTGAGCCGAAATCAAGAGTCGGATGCTTAACCGACTGAGCCACCCAGGCGCCCCAGTCATATGTGTATTTCTAAAAATTAACACAAAATTCTTTACTTTAAATAACAGAAATGCCCCTTTGGCGCCTTATCAATTGTCAATTTACCAAGCAACTTGGAAAAAGAAACAACACATCGATATTGTGCCAATGCCTTCAAACTTCACAGGTATATTTTCAAGTCAACATTCCTCTTTCCTTCGGTCAAAAGTAAAATACATTTGGAATTTTCAGAGAAATATAAAAATGGGGAAAGATATTAACCATCCACTAAAGAGAAATGCAAAACTATAACATCATACAGAATCAAACTGTATATGTCAGTGGTTCATTCTGGCTAACATTAGAATTACCTGGGATTTTTTTTTTTTTTTTTTTAAACTAATACCTCGGTTTCAGCCCCGTTGAATTACCCATATCCCCAGATACAAAATCTAGACCTCAGTAAGTTGTAAAAGCTCCCAGGTGATTCAAATATACAAGTGAGGTTGAGAATCTCTATTGTTAATAATACCCTTATCCCCAAAATAACTTTTAAGGGAACTTATTCTCTATCCATGAATCTCATCTACAGAGAATATTACGCTGAACACTGATATTTTGAATCTGGGAGTCTAGATTTACTAATAAAAAGGTATTTCTCAACCTGCCAGCTTTAAAGAGCCTACTGCAACAGGGAGAATGAAGTGGAATATTTCTGGTTCATGTGGCACTTTTCTCCTTGTAAGTAAATGGCAGGCCCCCCCCCCCCAAAAAAAAAAAAACAAAACAGTGTGAGGTTGCACTTGCTATGCAATTTCGTACCAAAGCATTTGGTTATACATTAAAACTTAGCCTTATATGTAAAGGAGAAGTACTTTAGAATGGACTTGAATGAAAATTGAAAAATAAAATTTGGAGTAATATTGGTCATGGATGCATTTCTAACAATTAACAGTTTAGTTAATCTTGGCTGTTTTTTTTTCTAATAGCCAATAATATCTGGCATATATCTCTTAGCTCAATAATATCTGGCATATATCTCTTAGCTTATTAATGGATGTGTGTGGAGTGCACGTGCATTAAAATACATGATCCTAATATGTGGCTTTTTCTACCTAAGTCCTGTTTTATTATTTTTTTGTATACTTATGACAGGTTGCCTATTCCTCGTCCAGGTGAAGTTTTGGGATTAGTTGGAACTAATGGAATTGGAAAGTCAACTGCTTTAAAAATTTTAGCAGGAAAGCAAAAGCCAAATCTTGGAAAGTATGACGTATGTATACCACCTTATGAATATGAATACTTTAGGTCAGTTTTATGCGACTTTGAAGGAGAGGATATAATTTTTTTTAATATCCTTATTTTCAACATTATTCATTAATTAATGCTGAGAAACTATATATAGATGAAACTCCTTTTTAATTAAGATCTGTTAATCTTCTTAACTGACAAATCTGAGTTTCCCTTAACTGTTAGCCATCTAAACTTTAGATGCCAGAGGATTCTATTTGGATATAAAGTTGACCCTTGAACCAAAGTGCGGGTGTTATTTGTGCTGACCCCCGCACATACGTTTGAAAGTCTGTATATAACTTTTGACTTCCCAAAAACTTAACTATTAATAGCCTACTGTTGATCAGAAGCCTTAGCAAGAACCGTCAATTACACATTTCATATATGTATTATATACTGTATTCTTATGGTAAAGTCAGCTAGAGAAAAGATGTTACTGAGTAAATCACAAGGAAGAGAAAATATATTTACGGTACTTTACTGTAATTATCAAAAAAAATTCACCCATATTGTTCAGGAGTCAACTGTATAAGTCATCCTTTTTGCATTATTGTGTATTATTAAATTCAAATAATTATATTTCTAGGATCCACCTGATTGGCAAGAAATTTTGACTTACTTCCGTGGATCCGAATTGCAAAATTACTTTACCAAGATTCTAGAAGATGACTTAAAAGCTATTATCAAACCTCAGTATGTAGACCAGATTCCCAAGGCTGCAAAGGTCAGTTACTCTTTAGGAGGAATTTATGTGTTATACATATTTGTGGAAGTATCAGAGATGTATCAACTAAACGTGGTTTACTTTGTAACTCATTTTAATATTGAAGAAAAATAGTAGTTAACTATTTCTGGTATATTACGACAGGGGACAGTGGGGTCTATTTTGGACCGAAAGGATGAAACAAAGACACAAGCAATTGTATGTCAACAGCTTGGTAAGTGTTTATTTTGTGTATATGTTTTAATAGGCCCTGAACTTAACTCATAAAGACAGATACCTTTTATACAGATTGCTGAAATAAATGGGAAAATTTCTAGTAATTGTATTTACATTCTTTGTTAACACAATTTTCAACTGAGTTATCATTCACACTCAGAATGATGTACAATATACATTTTGCCTAGAAAGGTAAAATAAAACTTAGAACATTGAACACAGTGTCTATGTTCTTTGTAGATTTAACCCATCTAAAAGAACGAAATGTTGAAGATCTTTCAGGAGGAGAGTTGCAGAGATTTGCTTGTGCTGTCGTTTGCATACAGAAAGCTGATATGTAGGTTGCTTTACACCTTTTGTATATCTTAATCCTTATTTTAGAGTTTTTATTTATAATACTGCTAATAAAGCCGTGCTTTTGAGAGAAATTAACAGAAATAATATCTAAGGTTCTCCTTCTGAGGTAAGATATGGAAGCAGTTGTGCACCCATTGCCCATTCCCTGTTACTCCCGCAAGGAGAGACTAACTCATTTATTTAGATAAGTACTTTACAACTTACGGTTGCAGCACTTTTTAATATAATCAGTTGCTTATTATTTACACTATATTTATACATAAAAAGATTTTTTTTTTTAAACAACCAGGCCAACAAGTTTTTTTTAAATACCTCAAGTAGAATATGAGGTCTTTTAGGTTACCCTAAAAAGGGTGGCATGCCATGTGAGAGAGAGAGAAAGGAAGAAGGAGTTTGTTTCCTACTTTCTGGTGCCTCTCTTCTCCCAGATACTTTTTGCTCCCATCTTTTTCCACATTTCTACTCTGGCATCCAATGCAGGCTAGGTCTTTTGCACAGAGTATTCTATAATTCTCTGCGGTGCCCTCCTTTTCAAAAACTTACTTGTTTTAATGCATCTGATTTTAGCTAATCAAGAGAAACCTCTCTGAATTACTTCAGACTATATCAGAATATCTTTCATGAGGAGATAATAATGTGTAAGTTAGCCTAAGCTGAGAGTCTCTCCCCAGGCTTGATAGGCAGCCCTGCTTTCATAATTTTTTTTCGTCTTTTTACTTTTGAACAGAGTACAGAAGTTCTTACCCTCATGCAGTGGACTCCTCTTTAGTGTAAGAGGGGATTGTTGTTAAATCAGAAACCATATTACAGGGATTTAAAATATCATGTAAGAGAGAATTATATGTCTTGCAAATTATTATATTTGCTTTTCTTCTTCATAGTTTCATGTTTGATGAACCTTCTAGTTACCTAGATGTCAAGCAGCGTTTAAAGGCTGCTATCACTATACGATCTCTAATAAATCCAGATAGGTAAGTACAGATTTGTATATGTCTCTCTTATTTTAATTGGGGAGTTATACAAATTTCTAAAGATTAACACTGGGATCCGCAATGTCATATACATGTGTATGTTTTCTGTTTCAGTTATTTAGAGCTACCACTTGAAATTATCTTCCTCTATCTAGAACAGAGGGTCTTAATGCAAGATTTCTTTACTACCATGCCTGTCTCCAGGTAGCCTAGAGATACTCTGAAATGATATGAAAGTTCTGGCATCTCTGTATGGATTTCTGGGAGGCAGGTCATTAGCTTTTACCAGATCCTCAAATGGAGAAGTCACTCAGACACACAAAATTTAGAACATTATAAGGCTCACCAGAGTAACTCTGGTTGTTTAGGATCTTACTTAACCCATTAAGTAATCACAACACCCTGTGTTTATGGGGTACTTTTGTAATTTGCAGAAATTTTAAATCCATTCTCTCCTTTGAGCCTCATAGTAATCTTTTTGTTAGACTCTTTAGGTGGTACTCCCATTTTGTAGATGAAGAAGTTTAAGGTCAGAAATGGTGGTTATTTGTTCTAGGTTACAAATTTACTATGTGGCAAAGCTATGGCCAAAACCCAGGGATCTTTTCCTGTGTAGCATTTTCTATGCCTCTTTCTATCAGTGACTGATTAAATACACAGCCAGTATAAGAATGCAGGAGAAATCCCTAGGGTAAAAACCAAAGAGAGAACCATAAAGAGAAGAGACCAAGATATGGGTTTCCTGAGGGATGTTGCTCATCTATAATAGGTCTTGGGCTTTAACAACCACTCGTGAGCAGGAAACAAAGCCTTGTGTATTGGAGTATCACATAAAATGCCAGGACTCTCAAAGAACTGCTTTATCAGCAAAACACAAGCATGTGGAGATGTCAAGGAAGCATATATCTCATTCACTGAGCTCACTGAGAATAGAGGGATGGCTCCCCTTCAAATATATTCATTGACCAGCAGCTCACATGGATATGGAATTAAAATTTATATAATCACGGGAGTCTAAACTCATCACAGTAAGAAAGTAACATAAAAAGAGGGTCCTAGAATTTAGTCCTATGGTACCTAGCAGAAGCAAATACAAAACCACTTTGCAGGGATATGCCCGCAACCCTAGTCAGTCATACAGGATTCCTACAAGTAAAGACTCATGATCCAAATAATACTAGGAAACCATCTGCAAATTAATCAGTAGGCACAACAGACAACAGGACTAGACCTTTAAGAATGTCTCAGGTGACATTCTCAAAGAAACTATAAAATAATAGTATCTAAAATAAAAAACATAAAAGGATACAAAATCGTAGGAATATGGTACCACGAAAAGGCAATAGGTAAATATTCAAAAAACACAAACAGATTTAGAAATTGAAAGTGCACCTGTGACATTAAAAGCTCAGTGGACAGCTCACACAGGTTAGGGACAGCAGAAAAGAGCATTAGAAACCTGAAAAGTTGATCTGTGCAAGTTACCAGAATGCAGCAGATTGAGAATGAGATTGAACTCAGATTGAGTTCAGAGGGAGGTTTAGAGAATGGAATGAGAAGACTATTTACATGTATTTTAATAGGAGTCTGAGAAATAAAGCCATGGCAAGGTCATGGCTAAAGGTACAAATGATCCACATAAATACTTTGAAATGAAACTTAAAATATCAGTGATAAAGAGACATTGTTAGTTGAGTCAAAGAGTAGCTATAATTTTCACTTCATATGTAGGCCTGGACATTATGATAGACTCTTTAAGGAATATAAGAATATAACATGTAGTCCCAGTATTCAAAGACTTCACAATCTGGTAAAGAAAAGAATATACAAGCAGTCAAGCCAGTGGTTTGCAACCCTAGCCACTTTTTATAAAATATTTTTATATACCCTTATTATGAAAATCATAGATATCTATTTTCACACATAATTTTTTTTAAATATCACATAACATCCTAACCATAATAAAAAGAGCTAAAAGGAAAATAATTTGCAACCAGGTGACATGTACTTAATATGTAAATGTTCTGGGGGCGTCTGGGTGGCTCAGTCGGTTAAGTGTCCGACTCTTGGTTTCAGCTCAGGTCATGATCTCAGGGTCATGGGACCGGGCACTGCATCAGGCTCCACACCCAGCAGAGTCTGCTTGGGATTCTCTTCCTCTCCCTCTGCCCCTACTCCTGCTTACTGGTATTCTCTCTCTCTCAAATAAAATTTTAAAAAATATGTAAATGTTCAGGCAAATCACTATAATCCTATATTTTGAGAGGGCAGTAACCATAATTGTAATAGTGATAACATGTCAAAATAAATTAAATTGACAAAGTGAAGAAAATGATTGAATTAGACACTTTCACAACTGTCTTGGGTGTTATTTATAGATAAAGGATTAAAATAATCTCTTTGTAAGTGATAGACTGATGAAAAAAGTGATAAGAAGTCTGTGCATCCTGAAATTCTGTGACATGTCAAGGCAATGTTCAGTCTTAATGCTGTAAAAAGATTTCAGAGATCATGTTCTTAAAACAAGAAATAGAGCATGGATTGGAGAAAGGACACTAATACGCAAGATTTTTTAGCATTTGGCCTCCAAGAACATCTTTGGTAAGATTAAAAACCAGCAGGTAACCCAAAATTAATTGTAGGAATTTCACAGCATAGATTTCTCATTATGTTGCAGATTTGTTTTTTTCCAAACCCTCAGAAAATAGAGTGGCTCACCTAAATCTTTTTTACATTTTGGACCTCTATGTAAGCTCCACCTAAAGGTAGCGGTATCAGAAGGTGTGACCTGGTTTTTTTCTTCTTTTCAAAGCAAATTAAAAGCCCCTAGATGATACTATGCTGCCTTACACTGAGTCATGAAAATTTTAGTGCTAAAAAGTAGATAGTTATTCCAGATAATGGAACATTGCCAACAAAGATACCAAGGCAGGATGAGTATTGGCTCACTTACGTGATTTGCCATTTTTATTGATGCTTCTTACTACCAGTGTGGTAGGGAAAAAAAATTTTTTTTTTAAGATTTTTATTTATTTGATAGAGCATAAGCAGGGGGAGTGGGAAAGGGAGAAGCAGACTCCCTCCTGAGCAGGGAGTCAGATGCAGGGTTTGATTCCAGGACCCTGGGATCATGACATGAGCTGAAGGCAGACGTTTAACCAACTGAGCCACCCAGACACCCCGAAAACTTTTTAATATTTTCTTTTCATAATTAAAATTGTCCCTATTTTTTTTTTTCATTCCTTTTACCACCTGATACCTAGATTGCTTAATAGCCTCCTTTAAAAAGTCTGGTTCTTCTTGCCAGATTAATCTAAAATGTTTTTTTCTTATTCTTTTATTCGTATCCTCTAGCCATATGTTGCTATTTTAATTTTAATTGAAATTAAAAATTCATTCCTTAAGTCAGACTACTCACATTCCATGTGCTCCACATTCCAAGTAGCTACTTGGTACCGTATATGGACACTAGAACGTTTTCATAACCATAGAAAGTTCTACTGGACAATGCTATTTAAGAACCTACCATTTTCCCCCATTGCCAATTAGCATAAGTCCAAATTCTTCATTTTGTCATTCAGCAGACTTATTAAACATCTCTTTGGTACATATCACAAGACTAAAAATTATAGAGGTGCTAAAATGTACTATATAGTCTCACTTCATAAAATTTAGGGACAAGTTGTAGAAATACTCAAAAATAATAAAATCTAAGTATCAGTTCAGAATTAGAAAGGGTCAAGAGTTGGGGAAAGGTCATTTGCATATTAGGAGAGGTGTTTCCTACAGTAGGTAGAATTTGTGATGGACCTTACAGGGTTGAGTAAGATTTCAACAGGTGAGGATTTAGACAAGAGACCATTTAGGAGAAGGAACAGTCCTTAGACACATAGAAATGGAAAAGTGGATTGATCAGGAAACAATGAAAGATCCATTTTTCAGTGTGCCTTATACATACATGAAGAGAAATAGTACCTGAAGTTTTGGAAAGTCTTGAAAGCAAGTCTCAGGATGTTAATTTGTTTATTTGCAACTGAGAGCCATATCTGGGAACCTGGAAAAAATGTTTGTTAAAAGTCTGTAGCAATCTTGAAAGAAATCTGAGACCCTGAACTAGAGTTTAGGCAGAAAAAGAAAGGGATGAAATGAACACACAAGACATTGTTGGGAAAGAGTTGACAGACTTGACAATTTAAACAGTATGTCATTGGGAATAAAATTAGTTGTTTTTTTTTTACAGGAGTAACGATTCCATTAATACAAATATGGAGAATATTTGTACAGGAAACAAATTAAGTTGGAATTTGAGGTGTCTGTAGGACATTGCTTTTTTAACATTTTGAACTAACTCGAATAGGAATAAAGTGCTGCATAAAAGTTTCATGACTGTTTTTTGCCGGTAGTTTGTACACTAGCAGTACTGTTACCTCCCACTTCAAAAGTCATGTCCTGTCCCATCCCACTCACATAGTACTCCAGTACACACCTTTTTCCTTTCTGACCTTCAGTGGATTTTATATCTAGAGAACATACTTGCCTGTGTAGTTTTTTGGTAATGTTTTGTGTCTATCCCTTGTTTTCCCCAGCTAAATGGAAAATTCTCCAGTTAAGCTTCCTGTCATATTATTCTCTGCATCCCCTTCTACAGCTAGCATATGGGACAGGACAGCTACAGCTAGCATAAGGGACAGCTTAATCTGTGAGAGGAATAGCGTAATAGTTTAGGCTACATCAGGTTTAAATCTACTGTAACTGTTTCTGCTTGGTAAAATTTATTTAAAAATGTGTTCTTTATTGGCAAAACACATTTATTTCATGTATCCATAAATTGTTTCCTGTTAATTTTGTCCCCCTTCCTTTTAGTTTAGGAAAACAATTTGAAATGGAAGATAATGAGTCTTATTTTAAAGAAAATGTTTTAAGGCTTTTGTTTAGTATTGTCTCTACATTTAATTTTTTTTTAACGTATCTGTTTTTCTGACATTTACACTGTTCTAAGAGTTTAAATTGTAATTAAATATAATTTTAATTTCATTATATGGTATGTTACATTTAAAAATAAAAATCTATATTGATTTGCAGATATATCATTGTGGTGGAGCATGATCTAAGTGTATTAGACTATCTCTCTGACTTCATCTGCTGTTTATATGGCGTACCAAGTGCTTATGGTGTTGTCACTATGCCTTTTAGTGTAAGAGAAGGTAACTTAAAAAACTATTTCCACAATGCTGTATGTATTCTTTCACTCTAATGCTTAGAAAATGTATTATTGTTGATATTAAATAGTTATGTGTTGCTCTGATAATTTATTCAAAACTCCAATTTTAATGGAATTTAATCACTCAACAGAGTGTGTGTGTGTGTGTGTGTGTGTGTGTGTGTGTGTGTGTATATATATGAGGTTGTATCCATCAGTTGTTATTCAGAACATTTCATTTTGGAGAATTTTCTATTGGAGGGGGTAGAAATGCTTTCTCAGTTCCACTCTTTGCGATCTTAAATGTTTTTATTATATTTTGGCTTCTACAGCATCATTGTAGTATTTGTCATCTTTATCTTTGAAAGGCCAATACCAGTAGTGAAGCCCTTAAAATTTATTTAGTGCCCATCTTGCTTTCATGTTTCAAGTTTATCGTAATCTGTATTCTAAGTTTATAGAACTAAGACGATCTAAAAGCCTAATAAGATAGTTTAATAAGTATATTAAAATAAGATAGCTTACTAAGTATGGTTTAATAAGTAACTCACAGTCTAATAAAATAGCTTAGTAAGTATATTTTCATTTATTCCTTCTACTTTCAGGAAAGAGGGACTCTCTGGCCTCTCTTTTCCATGTCTCTTCTCTACCTAAGCAAGTTAGGCAAAAGTAAAAACTAACCTACCACTAAGTGGCTCCTGAAACAAATGTCAGTGCATTCTCTATCTGGTATGCCTTTTTCCTTTTAATTTCTTTGCCATTTCCTTCCAGTGATTTCTTCCTCCTCTTTTACTTTATATTTCATCTCTCTAGGTGTGCCTTCAGCTGACAACCTAGAACAATTAGGAACACCCAAAAGGACTACCTAGTTCATACTTTGAAAAAAATACCATATTTTACAAGAATAATTATTCATGTAGTCTTTAGGTTGAGCAGGCTCCCTTTTTTTTTGAAAGTGATCTCTTCAAAGAGATAATTTTTGAGATACCTAAGAAACTTTTGGAAAAAGAAATTTATATTGCATCATACACTTTGCATAAAAAGGCAGTTGTAGCTAATTTTTAGTTTATAAAAGTACATAAAGTTTTTCGGTTGAGATAAGATGAAGGAATTGCTGTCACTTATCTGTTTGTACATTTGATATAAATATATGCATATGTTAAAGGAAAAGTTGTGAGATTGCCCAGTTTTCTTTCCAATAGTCTTAAGAGAGGATATAAAAAGGAATTTTTTATTCTCAATTTAGCAAGTACTTATTGAGTACCTACTCTATACCATGTAGTAGGTCCCAAATTGTGTTGATAATGATGTAAGCAGCTGGCATTCACTCTTCACAATTCTAGTTATAAATGCCATGTCTAAAAGCTACGCCACTTAAGAAATGGTTCCTGGTGAAGTTTTTGATGCTCCCCATCTGTTAAAACAATTCAAGTAAATTAAAACTTATTTTCTGCTTTCCATGAATATACTGAAATTAATGCCATACATACATGTAAAAGCTCTCTCTGGACTCTATAGCTGTAAAGACAGTTATAGCTTGAACTGTCTTAAATTGACAAGACAAACATTAGAGCAGAGATGGAAAGGCTGGTTAATGGTTTTTTGCACAGTCACACTTTTCTGAGCCTTCATTCCCTTGCCTGATAAATTAGGTATCTGGATTAAATGGCCACTAAGGTTTCCTTCACATTATGTTCCTATCTAATTTTTGGTTTTAATTTTTTTTATCCTCACATTTATCATTTTTAAGTAGTTTTAAGACCAAAAAAAACCATGCTTTTGGCAGAATCTATCGATTTGTTCTTTCAGCAAATACTGAAAACCTGTGTTCTAGGCTGAGGCTACAGACCCCCTCTCAATTCCAGAGGCGATGAGTAACATCCTTAGGCTTTCTTTCAAGACCTTCCAGGCTTGAGCTACTGTCTTTCTCTTATTATCTTAAGTATAGGAAACACTGAAACAGATCTTTTCATTTTTTCCAAATAACCCACTTTTTCCTTTCTGTGTTTGCCATTGTGGATCTTAACAGTTTTACTATGGAGGGATTCTCATGTACAATATATTTTCTTTCAGTTATTAAAATCTGTTTAGATGTTTATTTTTGTACGGTGAAGACAAAAAAATGTTAAATGAAGTCCGTTCAGACTGCAGAATTAATCTGAAAAAATTCAGTATGTATTATAACTTCAGTTTGTGGTATCTAGATCTCATGTGAAAATGTATACTAATAACTTATTTATTTAAAAAATTATTCCCCAGACTATATCATTTTATGTCAGTCTGTGAAAATATTCCATTTTTAACTACTTGTCATTTTTTCAGAAAAATTGCAAGTTTTGATTTAAAAATACAGCAGAAATGGCACCATATTCTTTTGCATAAAACCTAATGGAAAAAAATCTTATAAAAATCACATCATAATGAAAAGATACGCTTTGCGTACATAGGCACATATATATGCATAGGTTATTTCAACTTGCATTAGATACATAAAACACCATGTTATCACTGCATGTTACCACAAATCCACAGAAATTTGAAATCTGTGCTTAAATTGCTCCCAAGAGAGCCTAGGGATTTGGGTTTTTTTTTTTTTTTTTTAAGATTTTTTTTTATTAATTTATTTGAGAGAGAGAATGAGATAGAGAGAGAGAGAGCATGAGACAGGGGAGGGTCAGAGGGAGAAGCAGACTCCCCGCCGAGCAGGGAGCCCGATGCGGGACTCGATCCTGGGACTCCAGGATCATGACCTGAGCGGAAGGCAGCCGCTTAACCAACTGAGCCACCCAGGCGCCCCAAGGGATTTGCTTTTATATGGTAATTTCTTGCTGTGGAGAAAAACTAGTCTTTAGTTAATCTTTACTAATCTGTTGTCAATGACTTTCCAACAGGCATAAACATTTTTTTGGATGGCTACGTTCCGACAGAAAACTTGAGATTCAGAGATGCATCACTTGTTTTTAAAGTGGCTGAGACAGCAAATGAAGAAGAAGTTAAAAAGATGTGTATGTATAAATATCCTGGAATGAAGAAAAAGATGGGAGAGTTTGAGCTAGCAATTGTAGCTGGAGAGTTTACAGATTCTGAAATCATGGTGATGTTGGGGGAAAATGGTAAGTTTTCCTTATTTCCTTTATTTGAAAATCTGTTTATTCAGTAACTTAGTTTTAACTACTCCATGAAAATCTTTGACTCGGTTATAGGTCTGGAGCTAGGCTGAATCCATACATTTCTCAGTGTAGTTCACATTTTGTGATGTTGTCGGATTTAATAGTCATTCAGTCAAGTTTATATTTTATATATTTTGTTTAATAACCTGTAGTGAAAATAAGATTTTTGGGGCGCTTGGGTGGCTCAGTCAGTTAAGCGGCTGCCTTCAGCTCAGGTTATGATCCCAGGGTCCTGGGATCGAGCCCCACATCGGGCTCCCTGCTCACCGGGAAGCCTGCTTCTCCCTCTGCCTGCCACTTACTCTGCTTGTGCTCTCTCTCTCTCTGTCAAATAAATAAATAAAATATTAAAAAAAAAAAAAAAAGATTTTTTTTTTTCCAAGCTAGTTTTTCTGTGTATAAATTGATAGGACATTTATTCATCTTAGATGAGAAAGGATAAAACAGATAATTCAGAAACAATCTAGTTTAAAATTTTTGTTTGCATTTCTCCATTTGAGCTCTCATTTTAAATTCAGGCTAGTCTGTCTTTGTAAATAGTTGTATTACCTGAATTTTCAATATTACATTGCTGTCATAAATAGAGCTGTGAGTTGAATTTGAGTACCAAATGTCTGGTATTGCTTTCAAGATTTAAAAAAAAAAGATTTGAATTGTATTCAGCTTATAAATCTGTAGAAATTCCCTAGGAGGATTTTGCAATATATCAGTCGTTAGCTAATGGAGGAATTTTGAACTGGCTTGCATTTGACTTAAAATTTCATATAAACGGACTTGTAAGGATGGCATCAATCTTAACAATACTGTACCACTTAACAATAAATGGTATTGGTATTTGAGCTAAATAAGTCTTCTAAAAAGTAACCCAAGACTTGTATTTTACAGATCTACCATTTATTAAGATGGTTATTAATAAGATTTATTAGTCTATCTTCCTCCCAATTTAGTTTCAAATGATACTTTAGAGGTGAATCATGAAAGTCTTTTTGGTTTTTTTTTTAAGATTTTATTTATTTATTTGACAGAGAGAGGGAATACAAGCACGAGGAGTGGGAGAGGGAGAAGCAGGCTTCCTGCTGGGCAGGGAGCCCAGTGCTGGACTCTGTCCCAGGACCCCGGGATCATGACCCGAGCCGAAGGCAGACGTTTAACGACTGAGCCACCCAGACACCCCGAATCATGAAAGTTTTAAGTATTTTTCTGTCTAACCTTCAGAATTCACTAGTGTCAGTGTATATCTTTAAAACTAATTTCTTACTAAAATCCAGGAGTGTACATAGTGAGTTACTATAAATGTGAAGCATCTTTCAAGTCCATTTGTTATATATTGTGTTGGCAGGTACTGGTAAAACGACATTTATCAGAATGCTTGCTGGAAGACTTAAGCCTGATGAAGGAGGTACTGTTGTATATTGTTGACTGTTTTTACCCTGTCACACATAGGAAACTTTGAAGATACGGGTAATTTTCATTGTCTTCTTTATTTGCATTATTTTGCAGGAGAAGTGCCAGTTCTGAATGTCAGTTATAAGCCACAGAAAATCAGTCCCAAATCAACTGTGAGTTATGATTCTGTTATTTGGTCATTAAAGGAAAGTTTATACACACACACGCCTATAGCTTTAATCTTTCACTGTATCGGAATTCTTCAAATTATTTTCTGTATAGTTTTACCAAAAAGTGGCGAAGGAAGAGTATTAAGACATCAGTCCTTGATTCATTTCCACTGGTAGGAAATGTTTTTAAAATCTGTTTGACATCTTTTTCCAAAATAGAAACCTAATGTGGGGGCACCTGGCTGGCTCAGTCAGTGGAACATGTTACTCTTTATCTTGGGGTCATAAGTTCAAGCCTCATGTTGGGTGTAGAACTTAACTTTAAAAAAAAAAAAAAAACCCAACAACAGCAATTTAATGTGTTTTGTGCTGCGTATAACACCGTCAAGAAAGTAAAAGGCCACCTACAAGATAGAACACTTTCGCAATTTAATAAGGTACTTATATCCAGATTATATAAAGAACTGTTACAACTCAGTTTAAAAATGGGCAAAAGGATTTGAATAGACTTTTTTTTTTCCCCAAAGAAAAGTACAAATGGCCAAATAAGCATGTGTAAAGATGCTCAGCACCGTTAGTCATTAGGGAAATGCAAATAAAACTACAGTGAGATACTGCACACCCACTAGGATGACTTAAAAAGTCAGGAACAAGTATTGGTGAGGATGTGGATAAATTGGAACCTCATGCATTGCTGATGGGAGTGTAAAATGGTAAGAGCCACCTTAAAAAGAAACTTGGCAGTTCCTCATATGATTAATATAGAGTTACATATGAACCAGCGTTTCCACTCCTAGATACATACCCGGGAAAAATGAAGACCTGTCTCAACACAAAAATTTGCACACAAATGCATTTTTCATAATAGCCAGAAAGTAGAAAACCACCTCAATGTCCATCAGCTGATAAATGGATAAACAGTGTGGTATAGCCATGAAATTGAAAGTATAGTATTTGTACTCAGTACCACTTAGTTAGGCCTATTTGAGACAGCTTAGCTTACAATAAAAATTGTATTGTTGATCCTTTATATAAGCTTAGCTTTTAAGTTCTCAGATTCAGTCAGCCCTCTCCTGAAACAACCAGCACAAGACGTCTTAAGATTCGTCCCCATCACATTATGCATTTTATGTTATCTTTCTGATTGCCAGAGGGTACTTCATACCCATGCTGACCTTGAGAATTATTCCTATTCTCAGATGATATCTTTCTTGAAACAGTCATCATTTACTACTTTCAGATTTTAAGATGCTTTTTTTTACTTGGACATATTTATGTTTTTAACATAAAAATTTCAGAACATGCTATAGATGATGAATAAGCATAAAAATACTATCATATCTGTGAGTGGCAAATTGATATACTTTTTTTGCTCTGGATCTTAACTTTGTCAATATTGATAATTAGAGGAGTTCTGTACTGAAATAAAACTTCAATACTTTTTTCACTAAAAACAGGGAAGTGTTCGACAGTTGCTACATGAAAAGATAAGAGATGCTTACACTCATCCACAATTTGTGACTGATGTGATGAAGCCTCTGCAAATTGAAAACATCATCGATCAAGAAGTACATACTCTGATTTTTATTTTATTATTTTAAACTTTGCATGTCTCTACATAGTTTGCTAAACTTCTTCTCCAAATAGGTGCAGACGTTATCTGGTGGCGAACTGCAGCGAGTGGCTTTAGCTCTTTGTTTGGGCAAGCCTGCTGATGTCTATTTAATTGATGAACCATCTGCGTATTTGGATTCTGAGCAAAGATTGATGGCAGCTCGAGTTGTCAAACGGTAAAGTCCTACCAGTAAGAGTGTTAGTTTTAATTATGTGCACCGGCATACAGCGGTGCTTAATACAGCATTTGAATAGTTGATAATAGAAAACTGGAAACATTTCAAAATCATGTATTTTAGTTTCATACTCCATGCTAAGAAGACAGCCTTTGTTGTGGAACATGATTTCATTATGGCCACCTATCTAGCAGATCGAGTCATCGTTTTTGATGGCATTCCATCTAAGAACACAGTCGCAAACAGGTAAAACTATTTTCTGAAACATTCAAGCCTAGTTATAAGTTCTAACAGTTAGAAAGTTATTAGTCAAAGTTTTCCTTTAAGCTTATGAACATTAATCATACCATTTTAATTTTTAAAGAGGTAGCTAGAAATTCTAGGAATGATTGTGTGATGCGCAGGATTATTCATGTTGAATACTGGATGGGACTGGAATGACTAGTGTTCAGACTATAGACCTCCTGACCCAGGGTTGGATAAGCATGCAGAGCTCTGGGCCGCTCACCTTTTCTTACAAGTTAACTTTTGTCTTCTTCATTATTTGGATTTTCAAATCAGATTGTAGGATTTTGATTCCCTGAAAACCACTGATGCTCTTAAACAGCAGATAAAGAAAAGATACGCATAGGTTACATGATTTGCCCAACTTACACTGCTAGTGGTAGTGCTCACAGTGGACCCCAAATATCTGGTATTGATCTACAACAGAGACAAAATGAATGATTTTACCGTTTCCCCTTTTATTCTCTAATTTTTCTTTATTGGCTCAAATGAGAACACTTGTCATATAGAGAAGCCTAACATTGATATCAGTTTAATGAGAAATTTCTTATACTTTTTAGTGCTAAAACCTTATGTTAGGTTGAAACATATGGAATTACTGATATGCCACCATCTTTTTCCTGTAAAAATAGCAATTTCGTGTGATTCCAGCGTGTTTTCTGATATTAAAGAGAGAGGAATGGAGTTGCTATTTGAATAATTCATCCAAAAAATAAAGTACTTAGCTTCTTCCCAAAATTCCTTTGTTTTCATTTTAAATTTGTTTACCAGTTGAGAATTAACATATTTCTGAGACGGAAATTTCATAGACTATATAAAGCTTACTGAATTCAAATAACAATCCTGTGTATTTACAAAAATGTTTATAATGTTCCACAAGTATGATGCAGTTTAGTATGATTTAAGAATTAGTTTGGGTAAAAAGATGAATAAAGCATAGAAATTGAGAAAGGAATAATGAGTACAATCCATTGTGCTGTACATATTCACTCCAGTTCCAAATTTCTGATGTTAATGTTACCTTTTCTTAATTTCTCTTCTCCCCTGAAAATGTCAGATTGGAAATTCTGTAATCTCCTAATTAGTCTTTTGTTTTTCTAAAGTAGTATTTCTTACATGTTTTTTTCCAGATCAGAAACATAGTCTAAACTGGGTTTGTTTTGCACAGAAATATTATAGCCAAACAAACTAAACAGGCCAAGCAAAGACCCTTCTGAACATAGAATTCATAATATGCTGTGATTAGACTGTTATCTAGATAACTTATGATTGAGGAACTAGAGGGAACTGTGCTGCTTTAATACTTCATCCCAAAATGTAGTTAAATTTGTGGGATAAATTTTAATCACAATTGATAAGATCTTATTTTTCCTCTAGTCCTCAAACCCTTTTGGCTGGCATGAATAAATTTTTGTCTCAGCTTGAAATTACATTCAGAAGAGATCCAAACAACTATAGGCCAAGAATAAACAAACTCAATTCAATTAAGGTAGGTAGAAAAACTCTAATAAATCGTGGATAATTTCTCATCATAAATAATCGAAAGGCATGTTTCAGATTGGAGGGCTGTTTCATGAAAAAATTTGTCATTTCGTTAATTCTCACATTCATATTTTTCACATTAAAATCTGATGGCATCCTTCAGTCTGGTAGGCAGTAATTATGATGTAGTTGCTATTGCTACGGAGACTCAGACCCATTCATGTTATCTCAGAGTTGTACCCACTGTTATGCTGCCTGTGTTGAGTTTAATTGCCATTTTAAATGTTAAGATTACACTAATTCAGTGTTGGAACAAAGTTTTTGCAAATACCATGACCATTTTCTCTCATTTATTGTTCTTTTAGTGCATACACAACAGCCAACACCTGATTAAAATATTTTAAGAATCCAGACAAGCTCCTTCAGTGAGCATAAAATTGTACACAGTGGGAAAACATTTTGTCAGTTTAATTGGCAGTGTTTTCCTTTCTTTGTGGTACATAAAATTATTAATTATGCCCCCTGCAATTGATGTACTCTGTGGAACAGCTTTTTTTAGAAAGCAGTAATTTCTTGGGTCACTCAGGGAAAAAAAGTGAATGAACTCTAAAAAACCATTTCTGTGTTTTTGTCTCTTGCAGTGCCTACTTAAAATGCTACTTAACATTTCATGGCCCTCTAGCCTTTGTCCTTAATACTGGCATTTACTAGATTTTATTATTTTCATATTTGTACTCTAGCTTTGCTACTGAGCTATAACCTCTTAGAAAGCAGAGACCAGGTCCAAATATACATCATGTATTCTTCTTAAGCGCCTGACACAGTGTATTGATGTCTTCAGACTTTGCTGTGTATTTTGTTTATAATTATTACACTCTCTGGCCAGGATAATGAGATTACAAGTTCTGACTTAAAATTAAAAAGTTTTTATTTTAAAAATCATATTATTAAGTAGAAAAGAACAAAATTCTACAACACTTATGCACAGCTTAATTTTCCTAAGAATTCGTTCTGAAGTGTTACAGATGTCGTATTTGTCATTTTCTTGTGTAGAGACCCGTGGTTCTGGCCCCAGGTATACCTAGTCATCATTTCTCTGTGCCCACTCATCTTAGTCATCATACCTTAATCCTAAAAAGGAAGTTCTTAGGCAGATAGATGGATGGATCATTTACTGGCCACTCTATAAACAGTACTGGAAAAAAATATTTTTATATACATTTTATGTAATAGGCAGTTCTCAAACTGACAATGTTAACCTTTTTGGAGGGACTTAAAATCAAAATGACAAAAATGGAATGTAATAGTTTAGCTGAAAATAGCATTTTATATAGCAGAATTTTACATACATAAATAAGTCATTTTATATAAAAGGGGCTCTGCTTGAGAAGTGGACCAAGGTAAGTTTTCCGGTGGTAGGGATGAGTAACAGAGGTACTAATCTTGCCTTTGATTTAGTGGACCCAGGAGTATCCAGATGCAGACAGTGAGTGCAGAGGAGGTTGTATAGAGATGCTGTTGTAAACACTGCCAACCAATACTGTGGGTGAAAAGTCTACCCCTACATATAGGAGAATGGTGTTGATTTTGTTTCTGTTTTATTTTTTAGGATGTAGAACAAAAGAAGAGTGGAAACTACTTTTTCTTGGATGACTAGACTGAATCAGAATATTGAAAAGCCATTTCTTAAACATTTATTGGGATTTTTGTCATATAAAACTTTAATCAGGTTTTATGCCCCACATACTCTGGAGCTTGAAGTATAATTTACTTAATGTAACATCAAAAGCCAGTTGTGTTGTAAATTATAGTCTAAACACAGAAAATGGACTTTTCTGTTCTTGATAGGGCCCTTTTTGTGTCTAACATTCTAAAATGAAGACGTTTCAAGCTACACAAATTACCTCCAAGTTTTCATGATGTATGGGAAGATTTTCAGTAGGTCTTATCATATTCATGTACCAAATGCTGACCAGTGTTACCCCCTTTCAAAAATCTTGAAAAAGCTTTCCGTACTTAGACTTTGCCAAATATTCCTCTTATAATGAAACTGCCCTTATTTTAAAAGCCAGTCGAAGACTCCACTAATGAAATTTGATAAATAAACATCAGGATTATATTTGTTATTTGTTTTCAGTCTTTGCACTATGTTTTCAGTGTGTTTAGACTTTCAAAGGAAGATGATCTACTACAAAACACCACTGTTGGAAAATGGCCATGTTCCCAACTTAAGCATTGTTTACAGTGGTTTTGGTGCTTTTGAATATCTTTGAGTATCAAAAATCATTTCAACACCCTTCCCCCCATCCACCAGAAAAAACCCTAACTTTACTATGAATTACTCCATTTTAGTATTCCATAAGATTTTATATTCTATAACTCTCAAAGTAATGTCATTCTTTACACAAGTATATAATTACTGATCAAGATTTAGGAAAAGCATTTTAAAGAATATTTGCTTCCTTTAAAAGTATAGGCTGAAAATCTTTAGAGTTGATGCCTAGGCATCTATGTAATTTTAAACTTCTACAGATTTCTCATGGGCAGCCAAGAACAGTGAGCCACTTGCCTAAAGGCAACATTAATGCAAGCAAGTTCCCATATAGCTATGTAAAGTACCTCTTGGTACCAAATATATTCACCCTCATGTTTGGATGTAGAGGACATGATCTAAACCTATTTGATGGGGTGGGGGGGCAGTTTTGGATACTATGTACCACGAGCTCTAAAAACTTACCCACATCTTTTGAGTTTCTGAGTTTGAACAGTGGTATATAATGTGATACCACTTTCAGTTACACTTCTAATGCACTGAACTGGAACTAACTAATACTACAAGTGAGGAAAAGAGTTTACTAAATAAATTAATGGGGCAAGCAAAATTGGGAGAATTGGAAATTATTGAAGACTTTTAGAGCTCCTTGAAACAATAGAAGTGTTAATTAATATGCAGACGGTGAATAGAAAATATGGTTTAACTGGTCCCCATTAGGCCTTTTAAAAAATTTAGGAGTAATCCATAAATACATGTTTGTTGTGAAAAATTGAAACCTACTGAAATTTATGTAATAAAAATGTTACGATCCTTCCTCACATTACCCTCCCAAAGGTTACCAGTGTTTGCATTTAATAATACATACCCTTTTATGGTTTTTTTCTGTGCACTTAACCTAAGTGTGAATATGTAAAGGGTTTGTTTTGTACATAAATGGGATTATACTAAAATAAGTAGTGCCTATTTTTAAGGATAGGTTAAATTTGTGAATGATTATTTCAAGTATATTGAATAAAATAAGACAAAAGATGTTTTTACTTACTGATTCCATATTCTGCCCTAAAGAAAACACTTGTGATGAGAACACAGCTCTACTTAACTGAGGACAGAATATGTATTAGTTGTGATATTGTCCATGTAAATGAAATTTTTAAAATATGGATTTAGTTTAATTTTTATATAGCAATAAGAAAGGTTTTACAGTTGCTAACACAAGAAAAAAGCTTTTCTATAAAAATCAATAATATCAACTCAAAATACACCAACAGCGCAGTTGTTAGCTATTACATTTAGAAAGAATGCTCAATATGTCCTAATTGGAAAATATCCCTAAATAGTATAACACAATACACAATTTATATGAAAATATACAAGCTATTAAAATACCAAAAGGATACTCAAGACAATAAGCCTTTGGGGAATAACAAAACTTGGTTAAAGAACAGGTAAGAAAATGAGATAAATGCACATATGGCCACTACCTTTTGAATTTTGTATACTGTATGTATCAACTGTTTAGAGATCATTTAAGTTTTTAAATCTTCAATAAAGAGAGAATCTGTATTATGTTCAACCAGTGTACAGCAATATTAACAATTTTAGACCATGGCATCTTGAAACCCAGTCCCATATCTCTGGCTTGTAATTGCGTATTTTGGCATCTAGCATGTAGTTTGCCTTCTGTGTTGAAGGAATGAACCTATTTGCCAGAAAGTAGAAAGACTGGATAAACTATTCAAGTTGGTACTGTAATTTCACTGGTATCCATTAACATTTAGATACATTTATGTCAAGCTCTCAACCCAGTGTCTGGCATATTATGCACACCCAGCGGTACAGAAGAGAAACTGTTCTGGGTTGGAGTCAGAAAGGGCTAAGGAGGCAGCTCCCAGAAAAAGTAGCACCTGTAACAAATGATAAATCTGCAATGTAAAGGAGAATGTCAAGGTCAGAGGCAGAAATCAGCATGGCATGGAGAGGAGTGAGAATAGGATTTTCAGTGCCTTCAATATAGAAATTTGAGGTTTTTCCATGCTCGTAGGGATCGAAGAGGGAGCAAAAACCACTTAGAGAAGCAGCTAGAATTACCAAGATAGTTATTCAGGAGCTTAGTTTTTATTCTGTAGAGTTTTTTTTTTTAAAGATTTGACAGCACAAGCAGGGGGAGCGGCAGGCAGAGGGAGAACCCTATGTAGGGCTCTATCCCAGGACGCTGGGATCATGACCTGAGCTGAGGTTAGATGCTTGACTGAGCCACCCAGGCGCCCCTGTTGAACCACTACTTAATCTGTCATGGTTTCTTTGTAATCTGGTCTGTGAACTGATGTTTAGTGAGGTGGTATCTCTGAAAATTCTGAGGTATGGTGTGCCAAACAGTCCCCTTTTCCTTCCCACCCAACCTTGTACTCACCAGCACCTCCCTCCTTACTGTTTGACAGGGTAGCATGTGCCCAGCCCCGGATGGTGGATCGTAAATGGGCTAAGCCCATATGTGACAGCCTCCCTCGGTATTTTCCTAGTCCCCCTTGCAGCCAGGCATGGCCATGTTGACCCAGTTCTAGCTAATAAGTTCGAAGTAGAAGTCTCTTGGGGTGTTTCTGGAAGCCTTCTTGATTTCCTAATAAAAGGAGATACATACCTGGTACTGCTTCTTACGGATTTACTGTGCCCATAAGGTGACACACGGAAATGCCAAGAAAGCCACAAGGTTACTAGTCTTCACATTAAAACTGCTCAATTCCCAGCTGCCACTTCTCTCCAGATTTCTTATATGAGAGGGAAACACAACTGTTTATTTAGGCTACTGTAAGTCAAACTGGTTTCCTGTTCAAGTAATCTTGCCTCCTTGGCTGGATTCTCTCTCCAAAGGCTCTACATTTGTTTCTGCCAGGTGACCCAAGTGTATTACCACCAGCTGGGAACCACTTTTCATCTTAGCTTGCAAACAGATATGGTAACATGCTCAGTGTTTGGGATTTTTAGGTATAGGGAATTTTTACTCTTCTGACTGCCCTTTTTACTGGGATGCTCCTGGCTTTAATGCAAATGTGTTAGTTCCAGCCCCCAGCCTTGCATGTACCCCTTTCTGGGAGAGAGTTTCTCTCTCCCAGACCTACACAGTTCTCAGCTAATCAGATTGTCAACCATGTCCATCCATCCCTTCTCACGGGCTGCAGCCTTAGTGCCACTACAAGTCTGTACCTCTGGTTTCTGGTCTCCATCTTTGGCCCTCATCTGTGAATATCTCACATAATTACATATACCCTATAAAATTATGAAGGATTTAAATGCTTTTACTGACTTCTAATTTAGAAAAGAATTCACAAGAAATATGCAACAAGTTACACAGTAATATGTACATCCCTAGGTAAGTACGTAGCATTACTCTGTTTTCTACTCCATAGGAAGGTGGTTAGTCCAAAGCCAGTTTTCATTTAAAAGAAAAATTTAGCTTACTACACACAACTTTTTCTGACAGTTAAGTAAAATATTAAAAGGGCTAGGAGGCCATGAGAATCACACTATTCATCCGTATTTACATCTTTGATCTAGATTTTTTTTTCTAAATGTGAAAAATATAATCACAGGAATGGTATGTATAAAAGGACGGACTTTGAAGCTCCAATTTCTAATGAACTCAGATCAATCTAAAAAATTCTAAGATAATGTTTATAACAACCAATGTCTGTAGCTTCACTATTCTGATGAGTGCATGATTCACACTTCTAGAAGAGCTTTTTATAAATTGAGGGTTTATGCAAAAAAGCTATTTAACTTCCTTCTGTTATAGTCTACATTCTCATACTATTCCCTAGACAAACAACAAATACTCCAAGTGGAAAGCAAGCCTTCTAACTACAGAAAACTTTAATAAGAGAAACTGTATAGAACACTTCCAATCACTTGGTTTCACCTTTTTTATCCCATCCACTTCAAGTAACCAATTCTGAAAGGGCTCCACCCAACACCAAGACACCCTTCTTGCTTTCCTCATACTCCAGCTTCTCTACCTACTACGTGGGGAAAGACCGTGGCACTCACACAGCTAACAGCGAAATGCTTCCCCTGTCTCGCCCTCTCCCTCCATTCCAAGGTTCTATGATACTTCATTCACCTGCTTGGGCAATCCCCAACAACTGGCTTCCATGTCTAACCAACTTACATTCCCGGCTTGCTACCCCTGTTCCCAGCTCACCTCTCCACCAAACACTTGTACTGAAAAGGAAGCCTTTCTTTCAGGCTCTCCTTCCTGGGAAAGTCATTCTTAAGACAAGGTCCATATACTAAGTAGATTAAACAAGCATTAAGAAACTTGGGTTTTCAAAGTGTTTAAGTCTATCTGCTCCCTCAGTTTCCAAATAAAACTTTTGTTTTGAATGATCTTTCTTCATTAGACAAGTAACAGAGGTATACCTCAGCGATAGTGTGGGGCTAAGGGGATCAAAGAATTTTTTTTGGTTTCCCAGTGCATATAAATGTTTACACTGTAGTCTATTAAGTGTGCAATAATAGCATTATGTCTAAAACAATGTACATAACCTTAACTTAAAAATATTTTATTGCTAAAAGATGCTAACCATCATCTGAGCTTTCAGCAAGTCATAGTAATCACTGATCACAGTTCACCACGACAAATATAATGAAAAAGCTTGAAATATTGCAAGAATCCCAAAATGTGACAGAGTGAGCAAATGTTGAAAAAAATGGGACCAACAGACTTGCTCAATGCAGGGTTGTCACAAACCTTCTATTTGTAAAAACAGTATCGCGAAGCACAATAAAGCAAAACACAGTAAAACAATACATGCCTATACTGAACGCTAACTTTAAAGTCATTTAATCTGTAAATTA